CCCCCTCCCGCCCCGCCCCTCCCACCCGGGCCCGTGGAGCCTAGAACGGCGCTGCCGACCTAAAGACGCCTGGAACGCCCAGTTGGGTGGGGGAGGGGCAGACAATGCGGTAAAGATTGTTCACGAGATATCGTTTCTTCCAGCTCCTTCAGGAAGGGTCACTTGATGGCTAGAATCTGTCTTCCTTACCCCTAAGCTGGGGAGCGGGGTGAGGGCAAAGGTGGCACGAAGAATAACCGACGTCGGGGGGAAAGAGAGGCCAGAGACGTGGTGTGAAACGGTGGTGAAGCGGCTGGGCTGTGTGGATTGACTGGGTGTGTACAGGCTAGGACATAGTTAACCGCCTGAGCCGCAGCCGCGTCGCTAAGTTTGACTTGGGCCGCTTGTTTTTGTTCCATTGTGAACTGTGGCCCCGCCGACAAATGCCCGGATGATGACGTCACCGATCTCCCCCTTTTCCGGGATTGAGAGGCGGGAGGGAGGACGAGGGGGTTGGCGGAAAGAACAGATCCATCCACCAAGCGCTCTAGGCGGTCGCGCCGCGACGCCTGAGGGGTCCCGATCGCGCAGCTGACTCGTGCCACGTGACAAGAACGAACCCGGGCTTGCGGGCGGCAGTGGCGCGAGGTCCCACGGGCTTGGCCACCTGCTCCTCCCCGATAGGGGGAAGGTGTGGCCATATCTCCTGCGGCGGGAGGAGGGGGGCCGTTGGGAAGTGAAGGACCTTTTTCCCATCCTCCGAGGGAGGTGCTCTTCAGTACTCATTCACAGGATCCTGCAGCAGCCGCAGCTGAAAGCACTGTGGCTCCCTGAAAGGTTCGCTTAACTGTAACCGACCACTTTTTGACCGTAGACCAGGAAATGCGAAAGCTAGACAGGGCTGTGGACCGCACAGCGACTAGGTAGTACTAAAAGGTGGTAGGATTGCCAAATCATCTGCACCATTCAGCGTGAGAACCCGGAAGTGACTGACAGACCCATCCGCTGCCAGGGACTTTTTTTTTAACATATCTATAATCTAAGGTGCAAGGCTACAGAGGAAATTTTTATTAGACTAAAATAAAAAGAGAACTTGAAACAGTTCTATAGTCTACGTAGAATGTCCAAATGAAGAGGAAATAAGTGCAGTTTTTTTTAATTTGCCAATTGCTTGTTGAATTAGAAATACCTGCAGGCAACCAAATTAGACCCCAAATCATAGTAAGACCCTATAAAGCAAGATCTATTATTATTTTGTATAGGATAGTATTGAGTTTAGTTATGCTACTACCTAATAAAGGAGTGTTAAAATGGAATCTAAACTAGTATGGATGGCAGTGAAAGAACATTACTGGTGTCTTAAGTTTTTAAACCATTTCTTTTTATGGCACTATACTATATACAAAATAAACAGTATGTCCAAAATACATTATTTAAGTGGTTGGAGGCATGGCTCGGGTGGTATAGTACCAACCAATGGGGCAAAGCATCAAATACAGAATTCAAGTCCCAGTCTCACGTGTGCACGTGCTGGTCCTAGGGCTTGAATTCAGGGCCTGGGCACTATCCTGAACTTTTTTGCTTAAGGTTAGTGTGGCTCACTTGAGCCACACTACCACTTCCAGATTTCGGGTGGTTAATTGGAGATGAGTCTCGAATACTTTCCTACCTGAGCTGGCTTTGACCAAGTTCCTCAGATCTCAGCCTTCTGAGTGGTTAGGATTACAGGTGTGAGCCACCAAAGCCTGGTTTACACAGGCCTTTTAACCCTATCAAACTGCATCTTTAACAATTATGCCCATTCTAACTACTTCGATTCAGCATTGTACTAACCAGGGCAAGAAAAAGAAAAGTCATCCAGACAAAAAAGGAATTATTAGCTGGGTGCCGGTGGCTCACGACTGTAATCCTAGCTACTCAGGAGGCTGAAATTGAGGATCACAGTTCAAAGCTAGCCTGGGCAGGAAAGTCTGTGAGATTCTCTTATCTCCAATAAACCACCAGTAAATCAGAAGTGGCGCTGTGGCTCAAGTGGTAGAACACTTGCCTTGAGCTCAAAAGCTGAGGGATAATGCACAGGCCCAGAGTTCAAGCCCCAGGACCAACAAAAAAAAAATCAAAAGCTAATAAATGAGTTTTGCAAGATATAAGACCAATATTTTAAAATAAATTTTATTTCATTCATTGGTAATAATATAAAAGTGAGACTACAAAAATTCCATTTACAAATGACATAAAAAGAATACTTAGAATTAAACTTAACAAAAAATAACTACTGAAATACACTGAAAACTATTAAGCATTAAAATAAAGACCAAAATAAATGGAAAAACATCCCATGCTCAAGGATAAAAACACTTGATATTGCTGATCTTGTTGACCTTGTGTACCTGTTAGCAGGAGGATAAAGTTTGACGCTAGCCAGAGGCAGCATAGACTACTAGTAAGAGTAAATGCAATTCCTACTAGCATCAACATGCTTTTTTTCTTTTGCAGAAATTAACAAAATAAAAGAAAACCCCTTCTCACAATAGCCAATACTATCTTGAAAACTGAGAACAAAGTTAAAGGGTCCTACTTCCTAATTTCAAAATTTATTATAAAGCCACACTACTCAAAATAGTTTGGTAGTCACATAAAGCGAGTACCAAATGGAGTACAATAGAGTACTCCAATAGCATACTATAGAGAGCCCAGAAATAACCCTTTATGGTCAATTGATTTTCAGCAAGAATCCCAATGGTTTCCTGGTATCAATGATACTGAGAAAACTGGAGTTTACATATATATATGTATGTATATATTAATACAAAGATTCTATCATACTATACATATAAATATGAATAATTTCTATATGTCAAATACAAATATATTTTTAAAATATTACCAACAGAGTGCTAGCCTTGAGCAAAAAGCTCAGGGATAGAGGGCCCAGACCCTGAGTTCAAGCCCCAGAACCAGCACACACACACACACACACACACACACACACACACTACTACCAAAGAGTGAAGTAAAAAGGCAACCTATAGGATGTAAAAAATATATGAAAATCAAGTCTCTGGCAGGGGATTAATTTCCAGAATATATAAATAACTACAACTCAACACAGCAAAGCAAAAAAAAATCAACTAAAACTAGGTCAAGGAAGCTGGGTATGTGTGATGGTGAACTCATATAATCAAATAAACAAACAAAATATACCATACATGTAATGGAATGTTCAGCCTTGAAAGAAACTCTGATGTGAATTTAACGTGTATAAAGTTTAGAAATATTAGGTAAAAGAAGCCAGACACAATAGTCTACATATGATTCCACTTCCATGTGGTGCCTAGAGTAGTCAAATTCATGAAGACAGAAAGTAAAATAGAGGCTACTACTGGAGACTGGGGAGAGGGGAATGAGGAGGTATGGCTTAAGGAGTTTGGGATCATAAAAAATGTGGAAATGGAAAATGACAAGTTATGTAATGCTATAAATGTACTTAATGTCACTAAATGGCCCACACTTAAAAATGGTTACATTTGCGGGCTGGGAAGGTGGCTCAGTGGTAGAGCACTTGCCTTGCATGCCTGAGGCCCTGGGTTCGATTCCTCAGCACCACATAAGCAAAAAAAGAAAAAAGCTGGAAGTGGCGCTGTGGCTCAAGTGGTAGAGCACTAGCCTTGAGCTGAAGAGCTGAGGGACAGCACCCAGGCCCAGAGTTCAGGTCCCACAACCAGACCCAAAAAAACAAATAAAAATAGTTACATTTGCCAGGCACCAGTGGCTCATGCCTGTAATCCTAGCTATTCAGGAGGCTGAGATCTGAGGATCGCGGTTCAAAGCTAGCCCAGGCAGGAAAGACCATGAGACTCTTATCTCCAATAAACCACCAGAAATCCCCCTTGTATAACTAATACATGTTAATAAATAAAAATAGTTATGTTGGTACATTTTATGAATGTTTTACTATCAAAAAAAGGGCTGGAATGTAGCTCAATAGTAGAAAGTGTGCTTAGCATGTGTGAGGCTCTGGATTCAATTCTCAGTACTCCTCCAATGAATTCAAATACTGGTAATTTCCGGTGACTGAATCTATAAGTTACACTTTAACCAGCACTTCTGTTGGAGCTACCAAAACTATGAGTCTAGCTCTTCAGAGTGGGCATGGCTCACAGGACAGCCTCCTCCTTCCACCTAGTAAATGGGATAGGAAAGAAACAGTTCTATGTTCGAATAAGTTCAATGCCACTGTGCAAATCCAATTAAAATTCATACAGCACAGGCATTTTTTTCTTTTTTTCTTTTTTTTGGAGGGGTCCAGTCATGGGGCCTGAACTCTGGGCCTGGGCACTGTCCCTCAGCTCTTCAGCTCAAGGCTAGCACTCCACCACTTGAGCCACAACGCCACTTCCGGCTTTTTTCTTTTTACTTATGTGGTGCTGAGGAATCGAACCCAGGACCTCAGGCATGCAAGGCAAGCGTTCTACCACTGAACCACCTTCCCAGCCCCAGGCATTTTTTTCTTATTTCCTTTGTTTTGGTTTCTCTTCTGTAACCTCTGTCCTTTAGCTTTAAGACTATAATTTTTTACTTCCTGGTTCTACGTCATTAGCAAAGAACCTTTCTGTGTGTTTATGCTGGTCCTGGGGCTTGAACTCAGGGCCAGGGCACTATCCCTGAGCAATTTGGCTCAAGACTGTTTCCCTGCCAATTAAGCCACAGCTCCATTTCCAGCTTTTTATGGCTAATTGGAGCTGAGTCAAGTCTCACTGAGTTCTGCTTGGGTTGGCTTTGAACCATGATGTTCAGATCTCAGCTTCTTGAGTAGCTAGTGTTA